GTGTGTGTGTGTGTGTGTGTGTGTGTGTGTGTGTGTGTGTGTGTGTGTGTGTGTGTGTGGTGTAAATGAAATATACTATAAATGTTTAAAATAATCCCTTACAGTAAAAGATGCATTGCCATGAATCTCTTTCAAAATACCCATCCCCCCACCCCGAGCTTCTAACTTCCTTATTGCAATGTTCTTACTGCTTTCTGAAGCAGTTCTGGAAGTCTTACGTTGTGAGTGTCTTTACAAGGTGTGATTAAAATGTGGTGACTGCTGGTGCCCTGTGTCATTCAGTGGAAAGGCAGGGGCACAAAATCATTATGCTCCTCCACCTCATTCACTGGACCTGGCACTGTGCACCTTCTGGCTCTTCCCCAAAGTCAAAATAGACGCGAAAAGCAAACATTTTTAATTGATTCAGGACATCGAGGCAGCCAGGGCAGTAGAGTAGGTGCCCAACTTAGGAACATTCTGATGGCAAAGTCTTACAATACTGTATAAGACACTTTGTTAGCTTACAAACAAATCAGACTTAGAATTCTTCTGGAATGGAGCTCATTCATGAGTGAGGGACTCACTGTACAATCAAAAACACCCCGGAAAGGGAACATCAGAAATGCTTCCGAAAGTGGCAAGAATGAGGGGATGAGTATGCTCAAAGTAAGGGGGAGGATTTGGAAGGGGGTTAATGGCAAGATGTCTTTCACTATACTAAAGGTTTGAAAATGTAAACATTCATTGTATTTTTTGTGTACATTTTGTGTGTGGAAGTGTTAGGGTGATGGGGAAGATGATTTTTTTTTTCAATTCAGCTATTCAAGAGGTCTGGCAAAAGGATAGGTCAGGGTAGGTCCATATGGTTTGGAGAATGCAAAAATATTCAATCTCAAGTCCCTCTCTTCCTTGTCATTTAGCAACTCCTCTAAACCACCCTTGGAAATAACCAGAAGAAGTAGGAGGCTGGTCCTGTTTCCAAAGGCAAATAAAACTTTCCCTTAAAGAGGCCCAAATCCTTGTCAAGCAGTCTCTAAAAATTGCATACACAGGAAGGCTTTCCCAGAAAGCCTACTTCAGAGAGCCAGTCCCCCAGCTGTGGCTCCAGCTCCCTCTGCAAGACTTGCTGGCTATTTCTGCCATCCTCTGTAAGGCTTGTCTTGTTATCTTTAATTCTTCTGGATCCACTGCATTTTCACTTCCCTTGGGGGATTTAAAGTATTTTGTGGTTCAATTCTGAACTTGCTGATTAGGTGTGAATCTTAAGTTCTTAACTGGAGGAAGAAAATTTCCTTGGTGCAGAGATAGGCCTCTCAGAGGAGTGGGCAAATACAAAAAGATGCCAACTCCCAGGAAGGAAAAAGGAGATGGAGTTTAAGAAGGAAAGGATGAGGCGGAAAATGAAGTGAGGATATGGAAGTGGCAGATTATAACACTTTGTAAGGCCTGGCTAATGGTTCTGGGCAGCTTGCCTGCATAGAAATGCTTCCAAAACTGGTTCAGCACCATCCCATCCCGAGGGCTAAAGGGAAGCGTCAAGAAAAGAAAATTGCGTGACTGGGCTGAGGGAGAAAGTTTCTGCTGAAGCCCTTCTTTGTGAAGGACACTAACGAAAGGAGGTTACAAACAACAGGATTATCCCCTAGGAGAATGACTGTGCCTTTGATCTAAAAATCCTTCAAAGTAGTGGGAGGGGAGAGATACAGGCAGACAGTGCCGGGAGAATCCAGACCCAGGGCTTGGAAACAGGAGGAAGCCACTAGCTCATTACTTGGCCTTGACAGCTCTGAAACAGACTCTGAATGGACTCTATGTGTCAGTCTCTATGGCTCTGTAAAAGGAGCTAATTAATGACAACTAGTTTTCTTAGAAAGAATGATTTCAGAGATCAATCCAAGAGAGCCAACTCAAGGGAAAGCCATGCCCACTGGAAATTGCTAGAGAAGCATCAGGTTCAAGCTTGCATCTCCTAAGGACAGGAGGAGATGCCTGATCATTTTTCTTCCTATATGCTGCAGCGTTTAGCCCAGCACCGAGCTGCTGCAGATGCTTAACCCCTGGCCT